ACAAAGGTCCGGGTAATTATTCAAATTCGTCGACAGTGGGATTTGAACCCCAGACCTCTTGCATGGCAGTCTGGCAATCTAACCACTACACTAAGATCGCCAGACCTTATTTTAAAAAATATAAATAGAAGTATTTTTAAATTTTTATTAAACAAATGTCTGAACAAAGAGAAAATGAAAAATTAAGAGAAATAAATAATCGAATAAAAGCTCATACACTAACAAATTTATCTATTATTACTGGAAAAAGATTTACAGATAATGATGTTTGTTATATTTTAAATTGTATAGATCAAGATCAAGAATTACCTAATGAAACTCAAGAACAAAAAGATAAAAAATATACAAGATTTATGAGAGATATAATTAGGAAATTTATGCCGATGATAAAAAACGTCAAGATGCTATCGAAAAACTTCCATATTTTAAAGATTTGTAAAAAATAATTTTATTATGATATGAAATAATATATACAAATTATGATAAGATAATAAAAAAGAAAAAAAAATTAATCATCAAATTCATATTCATTATAGATGTCAGGAGTTGATATTCCATTAGAATAATTACTTTCATCCTCCCAAATTTCATTATGTTTTTCACTAAAAATTGTTGGTAAAGATGTTTTTGGATCAATATAGATATTTTCATCTATATTATTTTTTTGATAATTATAAAATATATTTTGAGCATTAATAAATGCTTGCCTAAACCATTCTCCTATAAAGAATATAAAATCATATAATTCTTTATTTTCTTTTTTTAATTGTTTATTTTCATCTTCAAGATCTTCTTTATCTTTTTGAAGATTTTTAATTATCTTACGATAATTTTCTGAGTCTTCTTCTTTTTCTTTTTGAAGATTTTCAATCTTCTTTTGTAGATTTTCAAAAATTGTTTCATACTCAGTATTTAATTCTTCAAATTTTTCAAAGTCGATAGAAGACATTTTTTGTTTTTTATTATTTTCTTCTATTGAATCAGAAATGTATTTTCTTTTTCTTCTTTCGTTTGAAATAATTTGTAGGGTATTATAAATTGATTGTTTAGTCTCAATTTGGAATGATATGTCGGACATTTTTTTAAAGTTGCATGCATGAAATTAAGCATTTTTATAAGTTTTAAATATTAAGAATAAAACAAGTTTTAAAAAAAAACTCATAACGAGAAGAAAATTTTTTATCAAGAGTTTATTGGTTCAAAAATTATTAATTATAAGTAAACAAAACTTTATAAAATAATTGGTACATTTGTTATCATTGATCATGTGTCGATCTAGAATTTGAATTTTGTAGATCTACAATCTATCCGTTTATAAAATCCTCATGAGGAAATTTGTGATCAGTGATTTGTTTACATGATCTGACCTTTTGAGGAAATACTCAAAAGGATATATTTGATCAGTTATGTAATTTTGTAAAACAAAAACAACACGTAAAATAAATAATTTTTAATAAATATCAAGAGAAATGTTATAGGTTCTTTATTCAAAATGGCTGATCTTGATAATATTCAATTTGAGAATGAACAAACAATTCATCAGAATTCTACAATTAAAAGTAATCTTAAAAAAAAATTTTCTAATCTAGATAATAAAACTGGAAGAAAATTACATGAAATTCATAAAAAATTTTATGTAAATTTAGAAGAAACAAAACTTATTTGTAAAATATGTGAAAAATCCTATGCTATTAACACTACTACAACAAATCTTAAAAAGCATTTTAAAAAAAATCATAATGAAGAATATAATGAAAATTTAAATAACCAGAGTCTAATTCAACAACAAACAAATAATCAAGTAAAAAATAATCAAGTAGAAGTATCAGAAACTGCTGAAACATTATTTCAAAAAGAAATTAATAAAAAAAGAAGAAAATATAAAAGAATTATCTTAGAAAATGTTGTTATCGAAGATGATTTATTTAATCTGTTTATCACAGGATTAGAGGCAGAAAATATTATTATTCAAAAATAATGTATATTTTTATTTAAATTATTATTTTTAATAAAATTTATTCATGGTTTCAAAAATCAAAAAAAACTTATTTTCACAGTTTCAAAAAATCGAAAAAAACTTATTTTCATGGTTTCAAAAAAATTGAATTGGATGTTTTTCACTGTTTCAAAAAATTGAATTGAACTTTTTTCCTAGTTTCAAAAAAATTGAATTAAACTTTTTTCACAGTTTCAAAAATTAAAAAAAACTTTATTTAAAAAATAAAAAAAAACAATTTTATCAAATAAATTTAATCGTAAAAAATTTTAATTTTTTTGAAATCAATTTTATCAAAAGAACCATTGTAAATTAATCTCATTTTTCATTTTGCTTTGATTTTTGTTTCTTTAGTTATCATTTTCTTGTTACAAATTTTCTTCTATTCATTAGAATGTTTTGTAATAAAATGTCTTTTAATTGTATTTGGAGAAGGATTTTTGTATTTCCTTTTACAGATTGAACATTCAATTTTGTTATCAGAAACAGAATTAAAATATTCCCAGATCTTATGAGAATTAATTTTTTTCATTTTGAAATTTTTAATAGTTTCGTTAAACATTTCTTTAATATTATTATTTATGTAATATAATTATAATTTACTTCATGAGGAAATCCTTATGAGGATATTTTGATCGATCATCACTTTCTATTTTAAGATTGTTTTGATAAATCCTTAAGAAGAAATCCTCATGAGGATATTTATAATTGATCATCACTTTTTATTCTAAGATTGTTTTGATAAATCCTCAAGAAGAAATCCTCATGAGGATATTTGTGATCAATCATCACTTTCTATTTTAAGATTGTTTTGATAAATCCTCAAGAAGAACATTAAATATAACAAAACAACACGTAATATTTTAAATATTTAATTTTTAATAAATATTAAGAGAAATATTATAGGTTCTTTAAATTTGCAAAATGAAAAATACACATGAAATTAGAAATTATTTTCATTCTAATCAAATTAATACTCGACTCATTTGTAATATCTGTGAAGCTTCATATGAATTAAATGCTCAAGTTACAAATCTTAAAAAATATTTTGAAAAACATCATTACAATGAATATCAAAAAATCTTAGAAAAAGAAAAAGAAAAGAAAACAGAAAAAAATCAAAAAACAAGAATTGAACAGAATACTATCATGAATTATTATCCTTCAGTTCAAGATGAAGATGATTATGAAATTGAAGAGGTTGTTGCAAGTGGACAGATTAGATTACATAGTGAAGTTGAAGAAGATGAAAGAGTTATTGGAAATAGAATTAGGTTGCAACCTGATGTTGAAAGTGAAGTTGTTGAAAGAGAAATTAAAAGACCACGAATTGAAAGAGAAATATTATTTAAGAGTATTGTATTAGAAAAGAATAGTAGTATCGATTTAATTTTTAATGATATTAATATTAAGATTAACAGAAAATGTATTTTGAATTTTAAATAAATATTTGTATTTTTTTAAAACAATAATAATTTTTATAAACAAATTCATTATAATTAAGAGTTCGTTCAAAGTATAAAAAATTTTTAGAGTTTTTTTGTAGAGTTTATTCAAAGTGTGAAAAATTCTCAGAGTTTTTTGTGAAGTTCATTCAAAGCGTGAAAAATTCTCAGAGTTTTTTGTAGAGTTCATTCAAAGTATGAAAAATTCACAGAGTTTTTTTGTAAAGTTCATTCAAAACATGAAAAATTCACAGAGTTTTTTGTAGAGTTCATTCAAAGCATGAAAAATTCACAGAGTTTTTTGTAGAGTTCATTCAAAGCGTGAAAAATTCTCAAAAATCTAACTAATCAGATCTTAGTATCTGAGTATCTTTTACGATAAAAACTAAGTACTTTGAAATATAGCTAAATTTAGTTTAATGACAGCTTTATTACTTTATTTAGATATATTCAGTAAACAGATTGTCTGATAATGCAAGCTTATTTCTTATCGAAAAAAATTTTGTACATTTTCAATTAGACTAAAAATATTCTAATAGATTTTTTTAATGATAAAAGAATTTGAAATGAAACTAAAACCTTTACGATTTATTCATTTTAAAATCTTGAAATTAAAACTACTTTAACTTCTTTAAAACTTTATTAATTACTTTTTAAAAATGTTTCCAAAAATCATTTTCCTTATTGCTATTGTTCTTTCTCTTTTAGGTTTGTTTTTAACAAACCTCTCTCTCGGTGAATACAACTCTTATATTCACCAATTCATCGTTAAAATCATTTATTCAAAAACTTTCTTTTGAATAAGTGCAATTACAATAAATATTATTATTGTAATTATTATAGTT